GCCTTCATCATTTGTATGAACGAGAGCTCCGATAAATTTGTGCTCAAGTTTACTTTCAAGGCACATAAGAATACTGAGAGCATCAGAAGCTTCTTTCGAAGATCTTTGAGTTCAACCTTCCCAAGGAGTGAATGACGGAACCTTACTGATTCGCTAATGTACACCTCCACGGTTCCTTGTCTAGCACAATGGAGAGCAAAAGGGTGTTCCGGTTCATTGAACGGCACTATAGTTGGATAACGTTCTGTACGTAATCACAGANCAGATTCTACTGTACGATAGACGATGATCGTGACTCGGAAGAATTATAGATTACACTCATCCGTTGTTGACACAAACCATAGACGTGATGAGCTTATCATCGTCTATCTAACCAATTTTTTCGATGCTAAAAGTTGAAACATGACCTGAGATCCCTTCAACACCACGTAGGATACCTGTGGCCTTGGATCCAAGCCTGAGGTAAATCTTATTATATCCAACGCCGGCTTCGGAATAAACACGGTGTCTATGCTACAACAATGAAAATGAAAAGTTGTCACTTTAAGCACAGAAGAGAAATAGGTAGCAGATAGCAAAGAATAACAAGAGCAACGGTCTTGGTGTTGGTATGTTCTGTAAGCTAGAAGTATCGTTTAAGAACGTTTCGTATCTGGGATAGGCAACATCACCCGCATCCCGAGCTACAATTGTTACACATGATTTACAACATTCTTTTCATCGCACACGTGTTTTATCTTTTTCATTATTGTTTGCCCATTATGGGGTACAAAATTTCAACAGACAGATAGTACAGCATTCATCCGCCGACTGCCATTCTGAGTGATCTTTAGGTGTATCTAGCGAACCACAATCATCATATTTTGGACCCCAATACTGAAGTTAACTTCCTCACAACCGACGATAAGCAACGATCTGACCACCGTATGGCTTCTTCCAGCCCTGCCCAGGGCATGCAGAAAGCACGCAGAGGTGGACAATGAACGGACAAACGCAAAACATTATTGAGTCATCGGAGGTTCTGCAGAGCAGTTTTCCCTTTCAGCGAGCGACTATCAGCACCCAACACACGACGTTGAACCTCGCTAACGGTCACTCGGTGTTGTCATAGGATACCAGCAATGTTTCGGTGGTTCAATACACGAAGTCGATTAGCATTCTTACAACGAATAGGACAGGCCTAATAACCTTTAAGAAAATAATACGAAGTACCGTGGCCATATACACCCTTCCGCCGAGGGAAAGTCTGATTCATGGCTGCACTAGGGGTATACTAGCCATTTAATCAATATTCTTGTCAGAGGGAAAGTGTTAGATCAAAATCAGCACCATTAATTTACAGTTAAACGAAGGGGAACTCACAAAGAGCCCATGGATAATGGAATCCAACGGACGACTACTTCGTGGAACAGTCAGAGATTTTTCCATTTGGTACAGAACACCAATCATCCGTTACTTCCGGTTACGAGAACAATTTATGATATAACTGGATAGAATATCCACAATGAAGAACGATTGTTTCATCGTTCGATGGTGCACTTCAGAGAACAGTGAGAGTTCAGTTTCAGTTTATACTCATTTGTACTTACACTGAACAAATTTAAATAAACATGGAGCATTTAACTGTGCGTCTGTCATTCGATAGGAATCGAATATGCGCAAGGTGAATAGTGAATGAAATTTGATTAGGAAATAGAAAGGAAAAGCGAACCAATATATAAAACACGGGGTGTTGTTTAAACGCATAAACATAACAAACTATCAAGTCTGGTCTGATAAAAATGGCAAAAATGACACAGCCGTCAGTTTGCTGTCATGTTTCAAGGTGTGTCACGACAACCAACCATAGGGTCATTCATCTCCACCTCAGATTCACAACTGCAAACAGGATGCGAAAGACAACTAATAGGCCTCCGCAACTCGTATCGCCATCCGGGGCAGTCTATTTAATTTAATTCGTTGTGTTAATGAATTTTCTATCGAGACACTTCTGAGGTCTTCCTTGAGTTTCGCTAATCTGCTCGCCCTTTTCCAACTCGGCTATGCTTAGCAAACAAGGATGATCGAGAAGCTTCAATCAACGTAATTCTCTCTTACACACGTCATCACAAGGGAGAACACAAGTTCGGAGAACGGTGAAGCAAAAATGACTGTACTATGACAGAATATAAGCAAATTTAAACTTTACAAAACCTGGAAGCTAACACCAATGGATTTTTGGCCTAGTGTACACTTTTAGCGTGTTGAGTACGCGTGCGCCATAGTAACCAATAGAGTCGCATTGGTTCACTGTATTCCATTGGTTTTTCACAAATTTATCCCGAAGCTTTACCCACACCAGTAGTCATTAGCTCCGTTTACATCGTACTGACTTCATACAGAAATTCCTAAAGTAAACATACTTCATTGGAAACATGCCCATACTCGCATTTAGAACATAATTTTAGGCGAACAGTTTGGTTGGTTGAAATCCTTGAACCCGAAAGAAAACGATTATCGGTATATAGTGTTAAGGATACCTTCCAATTTATGGACGCAATACGGAATATAGACGTGCCAGATAAAGTGATGCTGTCCATGGATATCACGACACTTTTCATAAACGACCCATTCAGTTCATCATAAAACATATTCCTGATAACGAAATTGATTTTGGGATACCCAGAGATGCGCTCTGAGAACGTTTATTTCGGTGTACATATAACGTTGATTTTTCAACGGAACGGTCTACCAACAAAAGGAAGGAATACCAATTGAATCAAAAATTAGGACCTCTTTTGGAGGCGCCGTTACTAGTTTTCATAAATATTTTCGGTTTGTAGACGACAGATTTTGCATGGCTGATTCAAACTGCGAACTGGATCAACAGCTAGAAAACTTCAACTCTGCACACAAGGCCATGAAATTTACAAAGGAGGTAGAAGCAGACGATCGGATGTTGTTTCTAGATATACTTCTCATAAAAAGACGTAGTGCATCTATACAACGCCGTGTGTACCGAAAAAAACATGTAGTGGACAATACACGAATATTTAGTTACGTATCTAATAAGCTGAGGAGAAAACTGATAAAATGTTTGATATCTAGAGCTCAGAGAATCTGCTCACGAGAAGTTTTAGAAGATGAACGCAAGTTTATCTCCAGCGTGCTCAGAAGCAAGGGCTACCCCGACCATTTCATTCAACGAAATATGGCGTAACAGGTACAAAAAGTACACACTGATAAGGTTCAAAAGAAGGACCCTTTCTTTAGTCATCCTTTTAAGTGCGAAGTGGCCGCTGAAACCCTCATAGGACGACTGAATGGAGCGGTCAAAGTCACATTCAAGGCAGCACAGGTACGCTGCTCTTTCAAACGTTTGCCACTGATAACCAAACGGAATAAAGACCAACTATCGATGTCGACCGCTTCAATGAACGTTTACTCGTTCAGATGCGTTTGTGACGCACTGTTCGTCGGTCGTACGGCACGGCAGTCATCTATCCGTATGAAAGAACACCATGCGCTGACTGAGCCAAGATGGTTCCGGATCTGTCCATTCTCGCTCATTCGGTAGACACTGGCCATCCTGTTAACCTAAGTGAAGCATTCCACATTATTTATCAGATTCCACCGAACCAATCCAAATGTGTTAGGATGCGTACGATGATCCTAACCGAAGACATCTATATTTAACATTTGACCCCCGAACTATGCGCCCAGAAGCGTCTTATCCAAGCTTTCCATCTCCCATGGGTTCGCGAATCGACCCCTCACGCCTGCCCGCACAGTTTTACACAACACCGATCCCTCAGAAGTGGGCCACACGGTCAACGTGACATAACTGGGAAACCCTGGAAGCACAGAAGTGAGCATGGGGTGTGCACAACATACGTAAAGTGATTGATTCCTCACATTTCAATGTTATCCTCCCAATCCTTAGGTTTTATTCTCTTAAATAAGGTGTACGGGCATGAGTATGAGTTATTTAAAACAATTGTTCGCCTTAAATTGTGTTCTAAGCATACCTAATTAGTGTTACCAGAACATCAATATTTGGAAGGTGTTATTCACAATGAAATATTTTATTCATAAATTCGGTTTGCCGGAGAAACAATTCAATGTGGCTGAAATGTTATTCGAAACACCCAGGTGGTAGACTGATCTAGAGCATGCAGACGACATTGTGCTACTAAGTGAAGATCCAGGTTGCAAGCTTTCGTGGATTGCTTGAATGTCAGCGTAACTATGTTCGGTATGCGTTTTGCACTTTCAATTGAAAAATGCTACTACGAGACTGGGTTAATCCAGTGCCCAACCTCACTCTAACTGGGGAAGTAATAGAGTAAATGTTATGTTTTGTTATTTGGGCAGCTACATCTCACTCGGTGGACGCATCTCGGATGAAGTCTCAGCTCGCACACAAAAGGCTTGGTTGGCATTTTCGAACTTGAAACATCTGTGACGCCGTCGCGACATCCGTTTGTCTACGAATGGTTGAGAGTATGCTGCGGTAGTTCGGCCAGTGCTGCTATACGGTGCAGAGTCTGGCCATTACGGGAACAGGATGAAGGTAGCTTGTCGGTGTTCGAACACCGCTGTCTACTTCGCATTGCACGAGTCTGATTGGGCAGCTGGAAGAGCAATACTGAGATCAGGTGCAGAGTTTTAGGTAAACGCGGTCGCCCACTGGAGTAAGCAGTCAACCTCCATAGATTACGCTGGTTCGGAGATGTGCTGCGCATGTCATCAGATAGGTTGCCACAGCGAGCGATGCTTACCGAGGCAGAAAGTGAATAGAAAAAGGTCAAGGATGGTCAAACTAACACCTGGTATAAGGTATGAAAATGCTTATCAGGACAATAGGTCACCTAGCTCCCGTTAGGCTCCCTGGATATTTTTCATTTTACTTCCTTTTATTGAATATACAATACAATTTTCAGGAACGGGGAAGTGGCTAATCAAAAGGATACCATTCAACATACAATGGGGAAAGTCAGGCGGTGGTGGTGGGATTCGAACTATTCTAAACACACCTGATTGCTTAGCATTGCAGCATACAATCCGCCTTGTGCCACCAACTGATCGTGCGTGCCTTTTTCTCGTATCACCCCCTTGTCCAAAACCAAGATGAGATCGGCATTCCGGACAGTTGTTAGTCGATGAGCCACAACGACGACTGTGCGACCAGCGGAGGCTTGGTCTAATGCATCTTGGACGATGCGCTCAGACCGCGTATCTAACGCAGATGTGGCTTCATCGAAGAGCAGCAATTTAGGTTTCCGGATCAACGCACGAGCGATAGCAATACGTTGTTTTTGACCACCGGATAAACCCCCTCCGCGTTCCGCGAGTACTGTTTGGTAACCCTAAAATGAACCAATTGAACGTTGAGTTCAACGATACAAAGGTGAACTTTCTTCCTATACAAATTCAAGTCTGACTGTTTTACTCAATCCCGAAAGATTAACGTACTTCTGGAAGACGTAAGATAAAATCATGTGCATTGGCCATTTTCGCAGCTTCGATGATTTCATCCTCGGTTGCATCGAGCTTTCCGAGCCGTATGTTATCTTCTACCGTCCCTTCGAACAAAATAGGTTCTTGTTGAACGCATCCCAACTGAGATCGGAATGCTTTTAGGTCCAATTCCCGAATATGTTCGCCTTCCACGAGAATCTGACAATGCGGGGAGTTTACGAAAGAAACGTCAACTTTGAGAAGTACGAAATAAAAAGTAGCACCAAAAACGAATATTTTCCACAACAGTTACCGCTGAATGCATTAACAGAACACATGAAAACCCAAGCTGGCAAACAAGTTCGCTTTCAGTGCATCTGAATCCTTGCAACACAATATATATGACCAGTTACGGATAGGAAGGAAGGGAAGTTAATAAAATGCTGAACAATTTCCATCATAATTGGTCTCCACTTTGAACCTGGGTAACCTAAGTTTGTTAAGAGTTAATTATCACTTATTCCGATGGTTTATGATGGGTCCGTTGTCGGCAATCTGGTCATGGGAGCTTGAGTGCTTGTTTAAGTTGTTTTTGAACACACAGAAGGTGGTTGTGGATAAGAATGCTGACTGGCTCTACTGTGGATAGTTTACGAAACCGTACGTGTCTAGACTGTCCCGTTTTTACTCTGTACAGTGATCGGAACGTGTCGGTCATGTTTGTGGTGTGTCAACAAATGACAACACAACCGCACGTGTGAGTTACCTTATTACTAAACTTCTCAGTTACGCAGCATGGTGCTCACGAATGCGCTCGAACAGACGCTTATTTGTGCGGCCAACATACTTTGCTCCACAGGAGTAAGTGAAAGAGGTAACAGATTCGGGTATTCTGTCCTTTAACCGCGGATACATTCACGGGCTAGATATGAGCTGGCTATGGAATGTAAGATAGAGTGGAGTTGATTAGTTGGCAGGACAAGGCATAATCTGTTCAACCATTTTCTGGACACACTCAGAAGGAATAGCGAGACAGCTTGAGAAGTCTGATGTGATAACAGGTAACGATTAGTTCATTAAACTATATTCGCTCGTAGACTAAATTCCACCAGTGTTTGACACAGGTCAGCAATCCCAGCTCCAGACCATAGTTTTTGCCGTTTAGCATAAGTAAACAATAGGTCGTCCTGACTATGGGGTTCTACCTCAAATGTAAATCACCACATATTGGCGTGCAATAAGAAATGATTCCCGTGCATGGACAATAAATGGACAATTTGGAGAGGGCACTTCTTTGATAAATTAAAATTTCAGTATATTTACATTACAGTGCGTCTTTATTCGCGTCTGTTCCCGGTTTATATGAGTGTTTGGTGATAAAACTTATCAAAGATAGCGTATATGAAAACGAACAAAGTGATAACTGAGTGCATTCTGCGCTATTTGTTTGCAGGAGATTCTAATTGTCACTTCAGCTATCAACTGACGCGATATGAAGATTTAAAACGGAAATGAATGTAATTAGTTTTCTGTTCTTTTAGTTGAAAAAATCTTATTCCGAATACAAATGGTTGCCTGGCACTAAATGACGACTCCTTTAATAATCCGATAAATTTCGGTACATAAATTAAAGACAGACGTGCGACAATCAGTTAGACACTCTTGATATACATAGTAGAAACGAAATTTCTCTCGCATAGGATGTAAAAGTCAATTTTGAGCATGCCTTATCACCATTGCAGTCCGAAAACGACCTACAGAGACTGTAAATTAGGATATTTCTAGGTTTCTGACATCCTTTCGAACACATAAAAGAAAAAGACGATTTTTAAGAAGTAGTCAGTATTATCAGAGAGCAATTTTTGACATGTTACAACGGCCCTCACTGGAGTGAGATCGAAAAAGTAACTATGATCGCAAGACTAATGAAACTCTGGGACTTTGTCTTCCTTGGAGTACTTCATGTTACTTGTTCACTCTGCTGTTATCAGCCGTGAAGAATCAGTTCAGTTATTTTAAACAACCATTAAGCATGCATTTCGGTGCGACGCTTTTGGTTGCTATCTTTTGGCTGCCGATTTGGATGAACGAAAGGAGAAAAACAAGATGATTGAAAGTAGGATCGAAGAGAAAACTGAGAAATTCAGTGGACTAACGATGCAGAGAAGAATAATAATTCACAAGCATTGTTGTTTCGCTGTCCAGCGTGGCTGAATGGGTGGTTTCGCAAAGACAGTACTAATATGCTAGCATAGTATTAATTTCCCCCATACGGCATAGAATAGTCTGAGCACAATGCACCAAGAGATTTCGAGATAAACAGAGAAATACTAAAATATTGGTCTGCTGAGACGGAGATGATGAAGAGAAAACACTCGATCAACGTTTTATGGGTACTGATAAACTTCAAGAGGCAGACCATACTTGAGGGGAAATCAACGAACATTCTCTTGTCCTGACCCTCAGAGCTATTTTCTTATGTTGTGTCGCGGAAAACACTTTTAAGGCAACGACTATAATCTCAATCGTGACTTACAAAAGTCAAAAACGAGTAGCATAGGTATTTTGCTGTCAGAGTATAAGAAAAGTACCGATGCTACCAACTGCTACAATGATGAAGCAATTACTGCATTGAAAGTGTTGGTCTGGTTGGTGATTAACTGTTTGTCAAATTTCTTGAGTAACTGAACATCAAACAAAATAAAAGCTATAGGAATCAACATAATAGTTTAGAAATACATCGAGAATACCATAAGATAGAGTGATACCGATATCTTAAAATAAGTTCATCCATTACGTTAAAATTAAGCGAACTAACAAAAAGTGAAACCCACAAAAAAAGACACAGTGACTGTAAAATCGAATGAGAAAACCAACCATAACAATCTGATTTCACATGACAGTTCAACAAAGTGATGGTTGTCGCGCATGTCACTCGGTGTGAAGAGATTCCACGTCAGACGCGAGGATCCACAGCTCGAATCCCGGAAGATAAACAGTGATGATGAGTCCCGACAAGGACAGAACATCTGCTTGGTGCTTCTTATAGAATAAATTTTAGCCACAAACAAAACAGTCCAGTAAACCAATCTTCAGTTTCACACAGATTTACCTCGCCTTTCAGTGGATCGTAGAACCGCTGAATCAAGTGAACAATGGTGCTCTTTCCTGATCCACTGGGTCCCACCAAGGCGACCGTTTGCCCACTTTTCAACTCGAGATTAAATTTCTTCAAAACCTTTAAAGAGACAAAAGTTCATAGACGAAATCAATACTCATACATTACTGTTTAGTTCTCGGGATATTCGATGGAAGATCTGAAATCAATTATAAAGTATCTTCAATGAACGGTGTAACAGAAATTAGTCCACCGAAAAACAGCAATAGACATTCCATTAAACAGTCAGTTCAGTCATTCAAAAGATTAGGGTTGTTACAACTGTTTGACGTGCAGCAACGTCAAAACTTGATTTTCTGTTGCATTACTAATCATTACGGCAAGAGAAGTTATACATACCGGAGCATGTAGGCCATTAGCTCCTCTTTGCCGCAAGACACAGGCGATCCATTGCATTTCTCAGTCATTTGGTTGAATTCTAAACAGGTAATTAGTACTTTGGGCATCATTTGAAAATTCCGTTGCTACGGGCTGACAAGTTGTCACGAAAAAGCTGACCAGCAGAAACAAGCATGGTTCGGTAAATTCAAGAAATGATTGGTGTCCTCTGGCATGGGAATAAACCTTCGTGTGACGCTTATATTTCTTAGTCGATGAATCCCGATGGATTGGTTAGATTACCGGAAAACCATTAAAATACGCATTTCTGGACTGATCTACGTAGATAAGGTAAATGTGAAATGCTGAATGTGTTTTTACAGTGAGAGCACCAGACGGGGTGAACATCAACAGTAGACATGACGAAGTAAAAGATTGTCTAAATCTATTGATGGTATAATGCACTGTTCTATCACTAATGAAGATTTTTGTTGTGAATGAATCAATTTAAACTGGTTTAACAAACCGGAACAAAGTGTGTTGCTCTGGTAAGAAGTGTTTAGATTACTTCTGCAGTATCAGTCCCAGTACCGGACTGAGGAGAGTTGTCTTTTGGAAGAACAAAATTTATAAGAGGTAAGTGAGATTATACAGAAAGAAGCATGTAATCCACAAAATATGGTTCGTTGATTCACGAAAGGCCCGTGATCAGTGCGAAAGCAACCTGACAGTCTCTTCGTATCTTCTGATGCTACAACAGCTAAATCCTTCAAACCGCCTTCGAATGCTTTGAAAATCCACTGATTACCTTCAATGCGCACCCGAAATATACTACTCACCAATGTGAGCAGTACCTCACTAGTACTGATCACCGGGATTAAACATACTATTTTGAGCTGGTTGGGACACGCGTACTCAAAAAGGATTTTCAGAACGCACACACTAGTTGAAGTGTTTCGAGTTTATTTCGACTAATGTTCCAATCCTTGAACTATGTAGATCTGTTGATCTGATAGCATGAGCAGCAATAGTATGGTTGTGTTCTAGAGGATACCAATACCGTAACAAACTCATGGAATTAGGTAGCCAACCAGATTACACGGTCAACGTGATATCTGAAAGCAAAGACCTGGATATGATGTATCAAATTGAACATTTTTGGTTCGTTTTCAAGAATACTTCAGCGAAC